GCATTGGCTCTCAAAGTGCAGATAACCAACTGAGGGGCCCACATTTGGGGAGTGGGCATGGATCCACGAAAGCGCTGCCCAGGCCAAGGCACTAGATCTCAGGCCCAGGTGAGCACAAAGGTGCTTCCCGATGGGCCAGCGCAGGCAGCAGCCTCTTGAAGGCTGGAGCTGGGAACACCGAGATTTCTACAGGGAAGCCCTACAATATGGTTAACCTGCAGCTGTGGCCGCGTCTCTGGACAGGTCCCCGCCCTTCTCACTAAGCCGCCAGGGGAGGCGCCCGCGCATCCAGCTGAGATCAGCCTCACTAGCTTCTTTGGTGCTAGGAGCTGTCAGATGACCGAATGCCCCGGGCGCTCACCTTACGGAATGCCCATTCTGGAGTCCCACGGGATTTCCCATTCCTAAATCAGGGTGGGCCCCGAGGGCCCAAACTTGAAAGCCGCTCTCCGTCCCCACTTTCACCTGAGGCTGCCCTTAGGATTGTGCAGATCTGGAATTGGGTTATTTGTTTTTGGATTAAAGAGATCCACCTCACCAGAATCCCTTACCAGAGTGCAGGACAAGGCGCTCGCGACATTTTGGGGGATGCACTCGCCCCGGGGGCTAGAAGAAAAGCTGGGGCTCACAGAAACAGAGAACCCTCGAGAAACCTAATCCAAAAGCTCCCCAAACCAGAGGGAGTGAGGCGTTCCTGTTGACACACAGGCACTTGTCCTCCAGATCCAGCCTGTTCTCAGACCCCTCACTTTTGTCAAGGCCACTGACCTGGCCCAGTTGCCCCCTCTCCCGCCCTGGAGCATAGTAGACCTGGAGCTACTAGCTTTTTACCAAAAGCGTGGTTTGCCCTGAAATTCAGGAGTCCATTTAGGAACCTAGGTGCCTTTCAACCTGCAGTTACTACCCAGCGTTCACCTCTAGCTTCTGAGAACCTCCGTTGTGTTCTTGAGTCCAGCTTTGAAGACACACATCATTCCTAGTTCGATTTCTGGAAAGAAAAAAAAAAATGTGAAAAATGCGGGTTCCCGAAGCGGAAAGTACCCACCCACTTCCGTCTTCATAAAATGAGTTTTCTTTGCAGCTATCACTTTTAATAAATATGTTTTATTTTAAAGATTAAACTTTGTGTCTGCCAGTACAGCGATGTACAATATAAGAAGCACTCATTTCTCAGCAACCAATTCAAGGTTGTATTTTACACTAAGGTTTCAAAATCTGGGTGAAAAATATTAAGCAGAATGTTTAGAGAATCTCCTTATTTCTATTCCCCACTTTCATTTTTAAGTTGGTGGACTTGTTTTTTTTCCTACTGTGTAACAAGTGGAGCTTTTTTTCTTTCTTCTTTTCTTTTTTTTTTTTTTTGATATTTCGAGGATCAATTCATGCAGACACCTGAGAAGAAGTAGCATAGAAAAGGGGGGAGGGATTGATAAAATGTACTTCCGAAATGTCCTGAGGGAAAGAAATAATATTTACCGTTATTTCTAAAATATCATATATGACCCTATTTGGGGGAGACCTCCCGACCCTTGTTTTCTGGCCCTTGTTTCTACTTCAACATCACAACAACCTCACGGAGATGTCAAAGTCCCAACGTGATAACAGGATTAAAATCAATTTGTATATGTGAAAGAAAAAAATGTTAGTATTTCTTAAGACCTTAAAGTTTCCCTAGAAGAACTGTTGTGTCCGGTGGTGGAGTGTGAACATCTGGATATAACATTATAAGATGCTTAAGTGGCCGTCTTCAGATTTTGCTTCTTGATTATAAAATAAATCCTTCATCCTCATCTTGGCCATTGAATAAAATCCATGTGTGTGTTCTTCGTACACCTATGAATATGTGAAGTGTATCTCTGAACACATCACTCTAGTTTTGATGGGATGTTCAAATAGCTGGGAGACAAGAGGCGATACTGGAAGGTAGGATGGAGGTTTATGCCTGAGTAGGAAATCGACCCGCGATGCGGCCAGGTCCGGGCCAACGCACTGAAACCCTGCTTGGCGGTTCGTACCGGGATTCCGCTCAGCTTTCATTTGTTCTTTTACGACCCAAGATTCAGCTTCTGTAGTCTGGACTTTCCCTGATGTTGGGACAGGCCCAAGAGGCTCCTTCTCCTTCTTTCTGGGCTCGCCCGGCACTCGGGACCTGCAGGCACTGGCGCATTAGTTCCTGAATCCGCCGTGGCGAGCTCGCCGCGCCCTTCCGCCGGAGAGCCATGGGCGTCCTCACGTCCGGGCAGGTGGGCCACAGTGCCTCGGTGGCCAGGCTCCAGGAAAGCAGCCTCCTGGGACTGGAAGGAACTCTTAGAGAAACAATGTCGTCGTCCCTCTAGGCTGTACGTCCTCCTTGCTGGGGCAGGAGAGAGATGTTTGCTTACAGAGCCGCATCACTTTCCACCCGCATTCGGATCGGTGTGGGGCGGCGTAGTCCCCGCTAGTGGGCTACGGGGTCAAGTTTTAATGCACCGTCGCGCAAGGAGAGGGCCTGGACTGTATGGATTCTTGTCTGGTTCTATTTGTGGTTAGCGTGTGCACCTATCTTTTCTTTCATATGGGCAAAAAAGGTGGAGAAGATTAGCCTGTCAGCCTCAAGAAACCTTTAAAATTTCCCATGCTTGCTAGAGGCGAACGCCAATTCTCAGAACACGTGGGAGGCACCTGAGGTTCCGGTTCACGGTTCACGTCCCCTGCACACACACGTGCTGCACTGGCGGGCGGGGGTCGAGGGAGGGTGCGAAGCCAGGTCCCTGGGCCGGGCAGGGGAGCCAAGGAGAGCAGTTCAGGCTCCAACCTGAGTTCAAAGACTAGAAAAACAGGTGTTAAGTCGCCTTGCTAATTCACTCGGTAAAGGAGCCTCTGGCAGTTGTGTGCGGAGGACTTAGCAAGGGGCCATCAGCTTAGGGCCCTGTCTTCACTTTGTTTTTTAAAAGACATCGACTGGGTTCATGACAACCGAGCTTCCTTGGGACATTGGAGCAGCCTTCCAGGCCCCCAGCATATCCACCTTTAGTGTGAAGACTTCTACACTCATTTTGCTCATCTTCCTTCTAAGGGCAAAATACTGCATGTTTTCGTCTTGAAATACTCCCTGCATGAGAAGCCTGGCACCGCCAGGAATTCCCCCACCCCCATCCCTATAGTGGATATGATCGGGTTTCCCACCCCCAGAAAGGCGCTTCCACAGCCTGCGTGTTGTTTGAAGCAAAGACAAAAGATAGGGTTCATTCAGATCAACTGCAGACTTCACTGAAATCCTCTTTACAACGCAGTCGGAATAGAAAACTGTAACTCTGAAGTGTCATTGCTTAGTTGGGTGGCTTCATCTTATCCTGAGATCTGTCCAAGTTGACAAAGAAGGGAGTCAGGAAAGGTTCTTTCACCCTCTCCCCAAGCCCTCCTCCCCCTCTCTTTACTTGTAGTAGCTAACTTGACCTTATCTGGTCTTTCTGGAATCTTGTGTGTGAGCCACAGTGATCTATTATCCTCCTCCTCACCTCCTGTTAACAGTGTATCCTCTGGTGGTCGGAGCCGCCCAGAGACGCTAAGTGGCTACAGCCAACTGGGGAAATGACTCCTCCTTCTAGATTAGACCCATTAGCTGGTTCCAATTTTGAAACACCTACAAAACCTCTATGTTTCCTTCTTTCTACCCAAAACGCTCACCTCCTCTTGCCAAGTGCTGCCCAGATGTGTAAATACTCCCAGAAAGCTCGTGTATTGGCCTACGAGCCAGCTTATTGTCATGGGCGGCAAGGAGATGGCACACGTCTGTATTTTTGAACAAATACTCTTAAAGGCGTTCCGAATATCAGCAGAATGGCACACCACCCCCTCCAAAAGAGAATTTTTCTCCGCCGTAGTTATCCCCACAAAGGAGAGGACAAATGCACCCTTACTAGCCATTTTTATGGCTGAAGAAACCTCTGCTTCCAGGCACGGCTCTAGGAGCCCAACTGTGGTCACCAGCAGCACCGATCCCATGGGAAATCGCATCAGAAAGCAGTAATTGTCTTGGGGCAACTTAACTTTTTCCTCCTTGCTATCGCTTGTCTTTTTTCAGATGAGAGGACAATTCAAATTACAGGATCTCTGAACTATAATTTGTCAGCACAGTACTTGCGAGTTCGTTTTAAAAGCTCCTGGTGGGGAACTGTAAAAGTGAATTCATTCATGAAGACCGAATCCTTTCTATTCGTGTTAGACGTTTGTTTCTGAAACAAAACCCAACAAGGAGTCAACCAACATTTAAGAAAACGGATTGTTGTGAGACATCCGTGTATCAATCACTCTCACATTTTAGCCAGAAATGTAACTTTTTCCCCTCCAATGTTCACTCAGTACTTCCCATAAGAAAAGTCCCAGAGCACAGCTTTCCACAAATCAGCCCAAATCCGAGCCATTTCGAAAAAGACACTCTTCTTTGGGATTAATTTAAAGACAAGTATTGCATTTCTTTCCGCTGGTGATGAATTCGGTGCCCACGCCGTGGGCCCCGCCACCTGTCTGCAGGAGGGGCGCAGCAGCCGGGTGGCTTTTTGGGCTCAGGGTTCGGGTGACTCTCGCCTCGGCTGCGGTGAGCCCAGTGCGCCCGCCAGTCCGACCTCAGCGGCCCGCCGCCTGCGCGCGCTCCCAGAGCTGCCAAGCGGATGCGTGAGGCTGAGTGCTCAGACACCAACCCCAGGGACCCCGAAGAGCGCAATTCCCGCGCAACACCCGGGAGTCTCGGGCCTAGAGGTCAGGAGCCGCGGCCGGAGACAGTCAGCGCCGACCCAGGCGCCCGAAGCTCATTAGCAGCGCAGCTGCCAAGCAGTTCGTAAGACTGCAAGCGCCCAGCGGAGCCGCGTGGAGGGCGGTGCAGGGTGCACTCTTGTCACTCAGACCTGTTGGCCAATGAGCGTAGCGCCGCGAGGCGAGCCAGGCCAATAGAAAGCCGGAAGGCTCATGAGTGGCATTGAGGGAGGGCGGGAGAAAGGGAGCCCGGGAGAGAAGTTGAAGCTAAACCTCGTAAGCTATAAAGAAGTTAAGGGGGGCGCTTTCGGCTTCCAATTAGGAATACTACTGGCTCCGAAGCAACTACAGAGGAGGAGGATTCTAAAACCACCTCACCCGTCCCAAAGCCCGCATCCTCCTCCTCTGACACGTACCCCTCCCCCAATTCATGACCAAGAAAAAGGGGCCAGGGAGTGCTCTGCTCTTCTCTGCCAGTGGGAAGCGGAGAGGCCCGCACCGTTGTTCTGTCCGACCGTAGACATGAGTACAGTTAAGAGGTGGGCGCCTCCGCACCCTCTGCAGCCCGCGAGGACGGAAGGTAGGTGAAGCAGAAGACACCCCGAGCTCGCCCAGCGGCCTCGGTAGCTCTGATGCCGAGGAGGCTAAGCTGGGGCGCCCCCGCTCCGTCCCCCGCGCCTGCAAGGGGTCTGTCGTGAGTGTGCCACCTGTTAACCTGGCGCTGCCGTGCCCCGCAGGCTACCGCCCCTGCTGGGCAGGGAGAACTCTGGGTCGCCTCGAGAGTCCCCAGAGGCTTCATGTGTAAGTGCCACTTTTTGAGGACTTCTTCAGACTTGAGACCCGTGTTAGAGAGGTAGCCAAACTCCAGGTTTGCCAAGGTCGAGGGACTGAAGGACGCCCACAGCGCAGTGGAGGAATTCTGATTTGCGCAACCTGCTTTGCTGCGAGGTGTGTGCTTGGCCTGGGCACCCAGGACCGGTAGCCGAAGGTCCTCTAATGGCCTTCAAAAATATGCGTTTTGTTGTTTGGGCACCTTCCCAGGGGGCTGGAGAATGTGACTGGCATGGGTGAGGGGATGGGAACTTTATTTACAGGGTTTTAGTCTTACTGCTGATTTCTCCATGTCTTTTAAAAACACACAAAAGCCACGGATTGTGGCGAGGAACGTTGAGGCGCATTGAGGCCCTTGCCGGACGCTTTTGGAATTGGGAGCGAGGGTGTGAGTGACGGTGTAACCTCAGATCTCTGATGCTCTGATGCTGTTGTCTCCGCAGTGGTCTGAAACAGTTTATCCCGGATTCCTGTTCTTCCCAAAGGGGCTCAGAGCCGTCTAAAACACCGTGGGACTGAAGAATAAACGTCGAGGATTATTATGTCGATTTTCCAAAGAACGGGGTTCGCAGCACGGAACAGAAGGAAAGGCTGGCTCCTCAGGGGTCCCTCCAGCATTTGATACCTACAGACCCCAAGGATCGCCCAAATTGTCGTGGATCAGCAACTTTCCTATACTTGCACCCTACATTTTCAGAGAAAATATTTTCTGGTTCCTGCACTGGCCTTTTCCTACCATCAATACAGTCTCCTCGGTGCAGACTTCAGTCTCTTCATTCAAAGTATGCATTATGTGTTTTACTAAGTATGGTCTCTAGTTGAAAGTTAATTTTTGGTTTTGGATGAATCTGTGGAGCTTACGTTGTAAGAAGAAAGGGGGAACAAGACACAATGAAAGAAAAGTCCAAAAACGCTGCCCGGACTAGGAGGGAGAAGGAAAACAGTGAATTTTATGAACTGGCTAAATTACTGCCTTTGCCCTCGGCTATCACCTCGCAGCTGGACAAAGCATCCATAATCAGACTCACTACCAGCTATCTCAAAATGAGAGTGGTGTTCCCAGAAGGTAAGTGACTTTGCCTAGGTGAACTATCAAAGGCAGAAGAGGTAGGGAGATTTGCCAGACCATGAGTAGCGAGGCACGGGTGTATTTATATACATACTCTCTCAAGGCAAAGGGAAGTTTAGCCCAACTACTTGACTAATCCTTACTGAACTCAGAATTCCTTTTCTAGGCACCATTATTAATACTTTCTCTCCAATCCTTCAGATATGTTTGGTTGGGAAGCAACCCAACAGTGCTTTTGTCAACACTTTAGACACTAGGTTCAATTAAAAGTAGTACTAATCCAAACATGACTTTCTTTTTTATTCTTCTTGTTAGAATTGTATCCAGTAGAAAGCAGGAGCACTGTTGAATTCTGTATTTTTGCTAGAAATAGACCCAATATAATAACTTCTCTACATGTCTATAGTTCATAGAACTATAAAAAGAGTGGCAATATTCGTTAACAACATCCTGAATTTAACAGTTGCTTGGCTGCTAACGATAAATTTATTTTGAATTTTTAAGATGTTTGCAGATTCTGGGGCTTGGCAATTTGCAACTCCGGCCTTGATATTGTCTGAAAGATACTAGGCTGCTTCTAAAACACATAAGATGTAATTAAGATGGCTAGCACACTTAGAAAATATCATCTGAAAGCCAGGTTGGCAAACAGATCCTGGAAAAATGTCTTATAAGGCCTAGAAGCTAGACTAGCTGAGCTGTTGACATGATTGAAAACTGTAATCTGGATTATCAAGATTCACTGTGTGAGGACAGAACAGTCTTCACAGAACACTGTCCTGTGTAAAACCATTTGCACTCACTATGCAAAGGACACTTTTCTCTTTCATTTATTCATCCTTTCCTCTGCTCACATCCAAATGATGAACAGATTTTTTAAATGTTTTAGATATGTCTTTGCTAGGAGAGGAAGATCTAGGAACGTAAAGGAGTGATCACTAAGCAAGCAAGCAAACAAAAGTTCTAGGGAAACAAACCTGTTTATTTACAAAGGAAAACTTATTTGACCCATAGAGGTTTATGTTGTTGTTGATTTTGGATGTTTGAAGTTTGCTGTTTTCTTTTAAAAAACGGTGCAGGAAGGAAATAGTCATTATTGGGCTTGAAGTTTCACTTTCCTTGATTTTGATGTAAAAGCTTGCAAAACGTTCTCCAAGTTAGTTAGGGACACTTGGAGGAAAACTTCCAAATTGTATTTCAATTCTGCCCTCAAACTAGAAATGGTGCTATATCAATGCTTAAAGCCTTTCCTTGAACAGTTTTCATTTGACCCTGGAAACTAGGGAGGAGAGGAGTCAAAGCTTAGAGTACCTGAAAAGTTTTTTAAAAGAGAAAAAGGAAGGACAACCTAAGTACTAAAAACCACATTTCCGGTTCAAACTGTGTTGAGAATTGCTGATGAGAAAATTACCATTATGCCACACTGCCTCTGTTTAAAAAAAGAGATCTCCTTGTCTTTTATACTGTCAGCGCTTACTTTATAAAAATAAAGCTATCGCGAACTCCGCTGGCCGCGCTGTTCCTAACAAGATTATTAGCAGTGATTTGTCAGCTCCTGCGGTCTCAGTGGGCTCTCTTTCTGCGTGATTTCTAGCCGGTCTCGTCAATTATCGGTGCCGATGTCGCTCACTGTTTGATCAGAAGCAGCATATGGTGCTGCTTGTGGGGATGCAAGTAATCGCAGGAGGAGAATAGCCGGTCAGCGTCCCCGGGTCGGCTCCATGCGAACCGGGAGCCTGGGGAGTCGCTGGCTTGGGATCCTAGACTGCTGCTGCAGATCCCGGCAGGCGCGGCCCGTGGTGATCCGGCTCTGGCACGCGCGCCCTTTCTCTCTCTCTCTCTCTCTCTCTCTCTCTCTCTCTCTCTCTCTGTTGCTGTTTTCTTTTTGTTTTCGAACAGAGCAAAGTTTCTAGTTTCAGTGCTAACTCTAAAAATTATAAAATAAATACATAGGAGTAATAAAAAGAAAGTAAACTCTCATCACCAACTTCTTGTTATTTTTTTAAGAGCTCACGGGTGAAGATTCCTGCTGGGGTCCCCTAGGTGGCCAGACAAGTCCCCTCTGGTAACTTTTAACTGTGCTTTGTACAGAACCCCCACCTTCCTCCAGAACCCGGGCCCCTCCCACCTCTCCCGTCTTCTATGGGTGAGTGTGAGTTTATGGGGAGGAGGGGATGGACGATGTGTGAACTCTGGGCACATCATTTATTTCTGTAGCTACTGTTGAGCCCATAACTCACTCGCAGCTTCCACTCGATGAGTTAGACAGGGTCATCTGAACAGCTGGCTCCTAGGACTGTGGTTTTACTTTTGAGAGTCTATGATCTTCGAAAACCTAAACATGGCCCTTTAAAATATAAAAGAAAGAAGAAAAACAAAGTAACAGTTTGGGAAGGAACACTCAAAAGTATTAGTGACAGCGCAGAACCAGACACAACCTGCAGGGGGTGCCAAATTTGGGTTCAACCTTGAACCCAAATAGCGGGTGGACAAGTTTGGAGTCCAACGCGGTAGGGGATACTGAGTACTTTAATCTTTTTTAGCAATGCTGAATGGAATTTGAAGATTAAATTCATCTTTACATTTATCTTAAAGCCAACCCAAGCACATAGTAGGTCCTCAATAAAATTTTGCTTTGAGGATATGATAAGGATAACTATTTTATCATGGTAAACATCTTATCACATGCGATGTGGATTTTGCAAGATATGTAGTCTCAAATAATTAACAATCTAGTGACATAGCTATAGGCATAACAATGTTGTAAAACTTCAGCTTTTGCTCCAAAAAGGTCCCACTTCCCACATTTCATTTAAAATACCCTACAATGCCCAAAGGCAATACATTAAATGAACACATTTAATTAAACATTTAATTTTTCATACTTATACTTGAAAAAAGCAAATACCCATTAAACTATAGGTCATTCCTTTTCCCCATTCATTTGCCAAATATCTTTTTTCTCCTCTAGGGTCTAGTAGGTTTTTTTACAGGGTATATTTCTGCTTTTACTTATTTTACCTTATTAGATAATATTGAACTATTGGGGAGGAATGAAAGAAGTATGGGATATGGGTTCCTGGAATAATTAAAAATAAGCATTCAATTGTCATTAGATTGGAGATTTAATAGGACAAAGAAAGAAAATTCACAAACATTACTGTGAAATAATTAACAGTGCAGATCTTCTGACTGATAACTTAGTGTGTTCTAAAATACCCTTGCAAAGCAAAAAAACTGAGGCATGTAGAAATGTGTATATGCTATCAAAGCCAGAGGCAAGGGTTTAAAAAAGAAACAAAATGACTTCATTTGTGTGCAAAACAGAAATAAATCATTTTAAAAGAAATACATATGATTCAGCTACAATAAGTTTTGGCTAGGTGCATAGTGGCATACAGAATAAACTTTGAAAGGCCCAGATAGGTTTTCAAATCTGTACTATTCAGAATCTTGGTAGTGTCATTCTACATTTCATTGTTAAGATGACTGGAAAATAAAAATTGTCATGGAGTTAAAATTAGTAACTTTAGTAAAGATAGTTTCCACAAAGGTCAGGGATGATTGAACAAACCTCCATAGCTCCTTCCTATAATATTCACCACTGAAGCCCTTAATCACTACATTTTTTGAGGCAGAGAACTGAAAAGAAAAAGAGGCCCCATTTCCCACGTGGATGGGTGATTTAAGGCTGTTTTTCTTGCTGCTCAGGGAAATGATTGAGCGTTAGGTTTCCATGTTTATTTTCTTACAGAAGTTTTTCTCATTTAAAAGCCTTTAAGCACAGTTTATGCTCCACGCTGCTTTTCTCTGTTTAATTCCAGTTTTGATGTTGACTTAAAATGTCCAGTGCAGAACTAAACTTACAGAGCATTTTGCCAGCAGATTTATGTGTTAGAAATTGTAGGTCCAACCAATGAAAAAATACTTTTTTTAAAAAGAGAAGAATCACTAATAATAGTAATAAAACACAACAATAAAACAAGGCATTGTAAACTACGGTGAGAAGATCTGAAGCAGGGTACCATCACCCACCTGAGGTTTAACAACAGGATAAATTTACAGAGAACAAACCTGCTTTCTAGAAGAATTGTTTTACAGTTCTGGGGACTATGGGCAACTTCAAATTTTTACAGACAAATATGGACACAGAATTGGACCTGCTAGATTCCTCCCTCATTTCTCTGTCGGCTAGGGTGTTTTTCAAGAAAATGAGGTTTGGACTCCAATAATAATGAGGGTCACCCATTGCCAGCCCTTAATTCATGGAATTTTCAATTTTGTGCGTGGAAGGGGAACCCCAATTATTTAGGAATGGTCCTCCTACTCTGAGCGTTCTGAAACTGTGTCTACACTGGAGCAAACTTTCTTCCGCAGGTACCCCCATACAATGGGCGGCTTCCGCTGGAAGTCGCTCGACTTTCGTGGCTCAGGTCAGGCCAGGCCAGGCAGGGCCTTCCGCGCGCCTCTCTCCCGGCTGGAAGCTCGCCGCCAACTAGATCGGCGTGGTGTGTCCGGTTCTCTTTTTGTGGTGGCCCGGCTCGCGGTCCCCGCAGTCTCCTCACTGTACTCGGGGGTCTAGCGAGAACTCGGGGACGTCTCCGCCCACTGCCCGAAGTAGAGACCTTGAGGGATGCTGGTGAGTGACAATCATCCTTAGTACTGCCCGGGCCAGTGCCCCAACCATAGGAGGTTGTCTAATGCTAAAGCCGAGATTCGTTGCGATCGGGCCATTCCCGGGAGGGAGGGAGGGCTCAGTTCGTTGTCCGGGTCCCCAAGCCAGGTAGAATCCAAGCGGGATCCGCCAGCACCTCGCAGCTCTCTGTTGCCGGCGCGGGTCTCCAAGGAGGTGTCATCGCCAAGTCCTGGTCACGCTGAAAGCCCGAAGTCCCAAACGGTAACGCTAGACATTTTTTCGTCGCCGTGCAGGACGCTCCCCTGTACATTTGACCCCACTTTTAGTCTGGACCTGATCGAACCCTGTCCTCCCCCTCATCTCAGTTTTCGTTCATTTACTGCGGACTCGGCACTGTTAGACAACTTAAACTGGTGAGCCGGAGGAAGCATCAGGACGAGGGCCAAGAAAAAAAGGGTCAGGCTGTGATAATCAGTCTTCACCCCAGATTTACACTACTGAATTCTTCGGCCGGGGAGCAAAGGCTCAGGCTCACCGGGCGGCAGGCGAGGGCGAGGCACACCCTGTGGGTTCCAGGCAGTATTGTGGGACAAGGCCTGGCTGGGCACCTTCACCAATGCTCTTGGGAGCTCCTCACTCCTCGGTGGCCGACCGGGTGCGTTTAGGTGCACGAAGCGACTTTCTGCCCAGTGACTGTTCAGCAGTTGGGCCCCCACTGGTAGCACCCATTCCTTATCCCTCTCTTTCCCAGATAGCCTGGCCCAGGACTTGTGCTGGAGCTCAACACAAAGGTCTGAGGAATGCCTGGGCTATGCATTCAGCAGTGACCCAATGCTGGGCAGTATACAAGGGATTTGGGTGTTTTCGGGATCCCTTCCCTAGACCAGCCTCCTCCCTTCACACCCTCTGCTCGGGGGATTCCCAGGTAGCTGGTACCAGCCAGCCTCTTAGGGACTCAGAGCTTCTCCCGCCTTTGTCCCTAGACTGTGGTCAGGTTGTGGGACAGCTTTTCCAGCTTCTGCATTCCCCCTTTGCCTAAAAGGTATATTAGGAGTTTTGGAAATAATGGTCCCTGGGAAGCACTGTAAGGAAGACACATTTCCATAGAGATATAGCGTTTATATATTAAAAGGTGAAAGAAAGAAAAAGAGCAGTAGAACAAGGTCTTCTCTTTCCCCCTCTTCCTGTCGGAGGGAAGAAGGCGATGATGCCAGGTCTGTAATCTATTTTTTGTCAAGGGTATGAAATTCATTCGAAGGAAAAGCTCGATCAATTTATTTTTGCTCCTTGCAATAACACAGCTGGATGATGCTTTGAGCTCGCGCTAGACTGGGGCTCATCATTCATTCGCCAAGAACGGGCCTAAATGGTGCCTGTGGGATTAGGTCAATTTTAGTGGATCTACTTCGCCTCATTTGGTTACTAATTGGTTTCTTGTTTTATAAATCGAAATCTCATTTTCAGGAAATTACAAAACCCGTGCAGTCAGTCCATTGAGGTAATCCTTGGGTCAGGGGGTATTTAAATGGAAATGGCTCAACCGAGCACCAAGGGTAAAGCAACAGTGAAGCTTGCTGGGGTTTTCGCATGAAATGCGAGCTAGCCCTTTAGATCCATAATAGATACATCCTTTCTAACGCTACTTATGTAAATATGATAAACCAGATTTTAAGGGAAGAGTGGGGCCTGGGAGAAGCAAAAAAAAAAAATTATCTGCTAAGGTTAATGTGGCATATCTTGGAAATCTTCCAAAATAGATTATGTTTTCCTTTGTCTTCGGCCACTTTAGCTGAGGAAAACCCTTTTGTCTAAAACCCGATTTAGTTATCGCCTCCCTCACAGAGCTTCTTTTCTCCTTTGCAAAACCCCGTTCGCTCGGCCTCACCGAATTACAAGAGAATCTTTAGATCTTGTTCCCACTGTAATCCCGCCGCAAAGGGAGCTGGTTTCCTCCTCATTTTAAACAGACAATCAAAGGATTTGCGAATTTTCTGCGGTAGGTCAAGTGCAGAAACGAAATCTCAGCTTACCCCCTCGCCAACTGAAGTTGGGTGCGGGAGCGCGTCTCCTAAGGCAAGAGGCGAGGGGTCCAGGGTGAGGGGTCTCCGCCCCACTTCGGGACTTTTTGGAAGGGGGACCCCTGATCCGGGTTTGGGGAGGTGTTTCTTCATACCCCCGAAGCGAGCTCAGCCCTGCAATTACATCAGGAAAGCCCCACAGGTAGACAAGACCAGCCAGTTCCTTACAAAACATTAACCCAGAGTTAACCGTGTGACCAAGATTTCGACCTGGAACACAAAAAGAAGGCAACGCTCTGTGAAAGCAAAAGGTTCCTTAAAAGGTGGTGATGGCGATGGCAGGGGAGGGCGAGGGAGGCCCCAGTTAGCTTGCACCGGAATGGGCTGCTTATTAACCTGTGGGGAAGTCTTACTGTCCCTTGTTGGCGCATAATAATGAGGCCACAACCTGACAGAACAAAGGGCCGCCTGGAGTTCGGAACCAGTATCTTCCACCCCAGCTAGAAGGATTTTCAGATCCTTTGGGTCGGGAGGCCGCTCCGGGAGACGCTCAAAATTTTAAAGATGTTTGCTGACCCAAATGATCATGTTTCGCTTGCTACCGGGGGTAGGCGAGAGGCAGATCTCTGGACACACTACAGCCTCGGCCCCTCAGCCCACTGGGGCACAGTGCCAGGGAATCTTTGGGGTTTCAGGCTCCTCCCGGTCCAAGGGAACCTTAGTGAGGCCTCCACAGCCAACTCCTCCTGCTGCTCCTGGTGGGGGTGGGGTGGGGTTGTCTGAGCAGGAATCAAAAACTGCCAGAAACCAGGAGGATAGGTTGAGTGCATCAGAAGGAGTGAAGAGGTGACAACGCCAAGGGGTTTGTGCAGGTGGTTGTGATGAGGACCCTCTTGGAACAATCCAGGAGGATGACTGGGAACAGGACAGTGGAGTCTCTCCCAGGAGGGAGGCTGGGGCGGGCTAAAGCGTCAGGAGGGGTCAACCTGCAGGAGGGAGGGAGAGAAGTCCAGATGCAGGCGGGGAGCATCCGTGTTTGCAGAGCGGTGGGGAAATAGTTAGATTTATTTAGATGTGCAAACACCCAGAAAGACCCTATTTGAGCTTAAGGGGCGCTCACTGTTACTTGTTGCCAGGGTTGTTGATCGCTTGCTTAGGAAGCAGTTACTGGCCAACACCTTTAAAAGGTCTAACTCCATGCTTTATTGTGAATGATTCTCCCCAGCCCTATATTATAACAATTCCAGTTGTTTGTCATTGTGTACTTTATGGTGTATTTGCTCTTAACCAAGTAGACTACCTTAAAAAAAAAAGTCATGTTAAACGTTATCCAATGGTGGGTGATGGAAGGATTTAACTATCTAGTTGAAATAATTTCAGTGCAGCACTGTTAAAAGATATTGCTCGTAGTTTAGCATAGGTCTGCACATGTTTCCTCTGCTTTATTTTCATTTCTTTCTGTACACAGGTAATAGAGAAGACTCTGTATTGTTTCTTTTTTAAAAATCAGCCAGAAGAGTCATAAGTGTTTTAATTTTTTAAAATGGTTTGCCTCAAAGCGTGAAGGAATCTTAACCTTAACGTATAACATCGAGGAGGAGAATGGCCTGACTTTGTAAATAAGCGATGGTACATGGGAGGTAGAGAAATAATGGTTCTCTCTGTCTAGAACAGTATCAAATATTGCTGAGACATTGTTAGTGCCTTAAAGTAACTGACTCTAGTAGAGCCTGTGCAGTTTATTTTCTTATTTGTGGGGTTGGGGGATGGAGACAGAGAGGATAAGGGGTGTGTGAAGCAGGGGTTATCAAGGAAAAGGGAGAGGAAGGATTGAGCAGGGATGCTGGAAGTCAACCACAAGCAAACCAATTTTTTTTGTTTTGTTTTCCCTAAGGGGATTAAAGTCAGAGGCGGGAGAATGGCTAGAAAGCCTTGCAGCCAATCAGACAGGCCGCCAGGGACCAGATGGATCTGGCTGGTCATCTGAGGTCGCTCTGGGAGGCCGTGACTGCCTTCTGTGGATGTGGGTACATCTTCCGGCTCTTGATCAGGCGGATGACGAAAATTTCGGACGAGAAATAAAGTGTTAACACACTAGTTAACCTAAGCAAAAGTTGGGGTGCGATGTGTGTGTGTGTGTGTGTGTGTGTGTGTGTGTGTGTGTGTGTAGGCGGGAATCTTTTTCAGGACAGAGGCTCTTTGAGGTCCTGCTAGGCAGGCAGTAGAAGAGGTCCCTGTCTTCCCTGAGAAACCTGGTCTGGCCAGAGGCAGCAAGTGTGATTTCTGCTCAGAAGCCGAGAGGCGGAACCAAAATTTAGTCGCGCCCATACCCCCTACCCCATGTAGGTTGGGGAGGGGGTAAGGATTTGACGTGGGAGAACTTATCCAGCGGTGATGTCTTGCTCCTGGTGGACCATGTGAAACAAGTCATAAACGCGGACTAGTCCCAAAGGACCAGCTGCACTGGGGTTCGGTTGCAAAAGGTTGTTTGTGTGTTTCCACAGGGCTTGGCGAGGCGTGGGGCCACTCGAGTCGGACTAGCCCCCTGGACAACGTTGGCCGTGAGCTGGGCTCCCATCTACTGCAGGTACAGGCGCAGGTCTCCTGGTGACGCTTTTGTTTTCAGGTCCCGGGTGCCTGGCCATTCACCCAGTCTTTTAGTATCTCATTTAAAAAAAGGATTCTACCTAGATGTGGCTCACTGTCAGCCCAACAACTCCTTGAAAGTTAAAACGTTAGCTTTTAATTTAACTGGGTGCACATGGGTGGATGGTGCCTTACCAGGCTGAGAAGGACACAAAGTGACAACCAAGACTTTGGGTTTGGAAAAGAGCCTGGTCAGGCCCCATTAGGGCGCTCGGACCCAGGGAGGGGGCCCATTTGTCAGTTTTTGCTGAGAGAAATGGAATGCCCCGCAGAGCCGGGTGCAGATTCCTCTGAAATGAAGGATTTGCAAAGGAAATAACAGGAATCTGATAGAAATGCTGGTCCGGATCCAGCTGTGTTTGCAACTCATTTCATCTCCTCCTGTAGTTCCCAGGCTCCCTCCTCTCTCCAGTGCTCCCCTCTCCTCAGGCCAGCACGGTCTTGGTGCAAACCCTGCAGTACACACATACACACCCCCAGGTAAAGAGTTTAGCCAATATGAGGTGCCCATTACCTTGTTATTTGCAGGCCACACCGTTTTAAATAACCTGTTGGCCGCATAAATCTCAGAACAAATATTTTAAATAGTAAAACGCCCAGTGGCGTGTTTTTTTTTTTTTATAGGATTGAAGCACCCCCTCCGCACACTGTACCCTTGTTATTATTATTCAGGTCCACCGGAAACTCCTGAAGTGGTAGCCTGGAACCTAAGACGCACAGTGGAATCAGCTGGTTTTCCCGTGTGAGTGGCGTCTGTTAGCAGGATTCCACAGATTCGCAGATCCAGGCTGCCACCTTTCCTCTTTCATTCCCAGAGGCCAAAGAGATTTTTTAGTTTCACAGTACAGTGGAAGGGCTTGAGCTAGCATTCCCTCATGGACATGGCCTCCGTATTTTTGAAAAGCATTGTAACTCTCTTTACTGAAACACTTTCCCTCAGATGTCCCTGTGTTGCCTCCATCTTTCCATATTCCCAACTAATTTCTCTCAGCAAAACCCAAACACTCCTTCATCCCTTCTAGCTCTTGCCCAATCTCTGTCTTCATTTTCACCTCAAATTTCTGGCAGAACTGACTCACATTTGTGATTTCAGTGGCTCACTACCTCCTTCATTCACACTCCTGCATCCCTGCAGACTAGTATCTCTTTCACCACTTTTTTTTTTTTTCTTCAGTGCTGGGGATTGAATTCAGAGCCTTATGCCACACTCTTACTTCGTTTTAGTGAATTTTTTTCACATAGGATCTCACTTTTACCCAGGCTAACCTCAGATGGTTATCCTCCTACTTCTGCCGCCTTTGTAACTGGGATTATAGCTGTGCACCTCTACACTCAGCACTCCTTTCACTATATTTTGATATCTAGAATTAGATACTTCTCTCTTATCCTACCTGAATTGTTCAGCCTATAAATACAGGAGGATTGATTGAGTGCAAAACAAAAAGCCCTGGCCTTATGGAGTTTACATTCTAAGGATGGCAGCCTTACAAATTACATGGGTGCACTCCACTGTGTTTCAGGTGTTGTAGGTGCTATAGAGAAAATTAAGAAGGGGAAGGAGGAGGGCATTGTTTTAGTCTTGACATTTAAACTGAGGATGGGATGGTAGGAGAAGGCTTTACTGATCACAACATTATCCTCTTTTCTCAATTTTAAAAATAGCACTATTTCCCCAATTTTTCTTTCTCTCTGCCTGCTGCTTTTTGATTTTCCTACTACTGGTTTTTCTGTAAATGATGTATTTCCCACAAGGTTCTAGCTTTGATTCTTCTCTCACAGCTCCAAGAATTCCTGGGTGATCTAAGTCAACACCACCACCTGAACTCTTTTCTTCCCATGATCCCAGTTCAGTCTAGACTGCACCGGAGCTCCAGATCCTTATTTCCTACTGCCAACTTTATTTCCTACTGGACACATCTAAATGAAGGTGTGCATGCACCTGAAGTTCAACATCTCCAAGACATTATATCCCTCCTGGAGACTTCCACTCATACAAAATCTCATTTGTTCTCTATAGCTATACAGGTATTGACTCACATTGATTTCCTGTGCGTGGGTGTTACCTTCTAGGTTAATTCTTTTTGATCTAACCTTTTCTCTAGTACCTGTTCCCCTTTTCCTATTGGCCTCAGTTGCATTTAAGGTATCTGCTTTAGTTTCTCTGCGTTAAGGGCAACAAATGCTAGCTAGTTTTTTAGATGTTCCTCACCCCTCCCTTGTGTGCTAAAGCTTTTATCATGTGCTCATAGTCTAATCCCATTGTTGTGTTTGCCCTTGATCTAATGTCTACATATGAGGGAGAGCATATGATTTTTGGTCTTTTGGGCCAGGCTAACCTCACTCAGAATGATGTTCTCCAATTCCATCCATTTACCAGCAAATGATAACATTTCGTTCTTCTTCATGGCTGCATAAAATTCCACTGTGTATAGAAACCACATTTTCTTAATCCATTTGTCGGTGGTGGGGCATCTTGGCTGTTTCCATAACTTGGCTATTGTGAATAGTGCCGCAATTTATTCAGCTGTGTGGTCACTATGTCTCTTTTGGGCCCCTGTGAGACATTCAGCTCCTTTAGAGCAGGATCTGACTCATTCTAGGTCTCCACTAAGGACCATTTAGAGATAAAGGGACAGGGAAAGTCTAAGACATTCTTTCATGAAGAGCATGTCAGTTTGATGCACCAGTGTAAACATTCACAAACATACACACTATAACAGTACTCTATGGACATGCTGCTTGAAAAGCCTCTCATCTCCTAAATACCCCTCCCTCTCCTGGACTCTTTCCAGAGTCATTGGCCAACTTCCTTTTGCCTACAAACATCAGACTGACAGTTCTTCCATGTCAACCAGTGTCTACCGAATTGGATGTTTCCAAACCCTGCTATTATTCTTTTTCATTATGGAACACTGCTACTATGGAGTTCTTCAAGAATGACACATGAAACCTCTGGTTCTTTCTGTTACCATCAGGCCAAAAACCTAACTTGCCTCTTATCAAAGTCTGTGATTCTTTTCTACAGAACTTGGTATACCTGTTATAGATGTGTCTTTGTCTATTTCAGTAGATTCTGAGCCTTACAGGGTACTAGGCTTGCCCATTGTTTCCTCTGAATCTTTCTCAGAGTACTTTGTGCTGCTCCAGATGCTTACAAATTTGTAATGAGCAAAAGAGGAGACACTTGTGACTAGTTCTATGCCCTGTTTCCAGACTGTTTCTCTCCATGTCATCTCTGTACATCTGGCTGAATTTCTTGACCATCTTTAACTTCTGTCCTCTGTGCCATTTGTCTAGATGACTCAGTGGCCTCTCCATTCATTCTAATTTCTGCCTCCCCAGACACTGGATGGCTTCATCTTTGTGGTGGCCCCAGATGGGAAGATCATGTACATCTCAGAGACAGCTTCAGTTCACCTGGGTCTTTCTCAGGTAGGTGAGTGGTCCACACTTCCAAGCCTGCAGTGTTATAGCCAGAGTTGGTGGTGGGGGGTGGTGTGGTCACCAATCCTTTTATAGTTGCATTCTGGGTCTGGAAACCTCTTAGCTGATAGGAGGACTTTACAAACAGGTGGGGACCTCCTCATTCCTGTACTTCCCTATCCTTTAGCTTCTACCCTGGCTCAAGCAATTGTTACTTTTTTGAGCTCTTACCATAAGCCGGCACTATGGGAGGAGGCGACATGCTTATTTCATGATGTGTTTACTAGAACAATATCAAGGACTACTTTTGCTATTATTATCATGACTACTGATGTTATGATTATTTCAGATAAGAAAGCTGAGGTTTAAATAAGATGCAATAGGTAGCAAGCAGCAGAGCTGGAATTAAAAACTCAAGGCCTATTCCAGACTGCTGGCTCCTGTCCTCCTGGTCCTTCAGATTCCCGGGCCCAAGCTTTCAGCCTCTTACTGGGGCACTGTACCACCACGGAGACGATTCCTTCCTCTTTACAGGTAGAGCTGACCGGAAACAGCATTTATGAATACATCCATCCCGCTGACCACGACGAGATGACAGCGGTGCTCACCGCCCATCAGCCCTACCACTCTCACTTCGTACAGGGTAAGGCAGGCATGTGCCTCGGACGCTCAGGCCCATGGCAGTCAGCTTGTGGTTTTCCCCCAATTACTGATGGCTGGGACTGGCGCCGTGTTGCCTGTCTCACGTCTGAGCCTCCCTCTGCTCCTCTCTCCCAGAGTACGAGATAGAGCGCTCCTTCTTCCTGAGGATGAAGTGCGTCTTGGCCAAGCGGAACGCTGGCCTTACCTGCGGTGGCTACAAGGTGCGTGGCTGAGCTAGAAGATCCACGCCAAAGAATGGGCGGGGCAGGACACCTGGCTCTGTAGCGGGGGAAGGTGGTTCCAGCATTTGTAACGACCCAGAGACCTCCCCTTGCACACCTCAATGGCGGCCGGCCCAGACGCTAATCTAGGGTCACGCAACTTGGTGAACATCTGGGCACTACGCTTTAAAACTAAGTCTGACTGGGCTCAGATACTGCCCTACTGCCGTATCTGACAGCTGGGCCTTAGGAGTTCGTAAAGCCTCTGGGGTGGAAACCTCTGGTGAATTCTTAGGAATTTAGTTATAGCTTGAGATTGTGACCCCAAAGAGGTTAAGAACCAGAGGAGCTTTAGCCACAAACTGCGATTCTCAAGTTGAATGAGATGGAACATCATTATAAAGTAGGTTCCAAAGACCTGACTCAAATACGTTGGGGGTGGGGGGGTCGGACCAGGCATCTGCATTAAAAAAATTTTTTTTAACAAGTTCTCAAATGACTTTCTTGTGGCGGTGCAGTCACTCTCTTGAAACACCTTAAAGCACCGATAACTTTGTATCCCTTAGCAGAAGGAGGTGATCCCCACAACGTTTGTGGTCAACTCCTTCCCTATATTTACTCCATCCCATTCCACCACAGGTCATTCACTGCAGCGGCTACCTGAAGATCCGTCAGTACAGCCTAGACATGTCCCCCTTCGATGGTTGCTACCAGAATGTGGGCTTGGTGGCCGTGGGCCACTCGCTGCCTCCTAGCGCTGTCACGGAGATCAAACTGCACAGCAACATGTTCATGTTCCGCGCCAGCCTGGATATGAAGCTCATCTTCCTGGACTCCAGGTGCGTGGGCGGGGACGAAAAGAGCTGCCCCTAGAGTGATGGCGGCCCTGCTCTGGGAGGGAGAGCTTTCCTTTGATCATTCCAGCCCAATTTACAGGTGAGGCAACTGCCTGGGTTCTGTGAAATGGGGGCGGGAGGGCATCAAGGTCTGAGACCCTACAGGGTATGGGAAACACCCCCGCACTCAGCTCCAGGGAAATGCTCTCCGCAGGGTAGCGGAGCTGACCGGCTACGAACCTCAGGATCTGATTGAGAAGACCCTGTACCACCACGTGCACGGCTGCGACACCTTTCACCTGCGCTGCGCGCATCACTTGCGTAAGGAACCTTCTACGCTACCGGAACAACCCCGAGCGACCCCGGGGCCGCAGGGGAAGGAGGATTTAAGTTCACGTCAACAGACAGATGGAAGCTGTCCTATCCGGGTTGTGGTAGTGGTCGTGCGTCAGATCCTCCCCTCCCCAACGGGGATCTGCAGCGACACTGGGTCCCATCTGGCTACTCTGATTTACCCGGGCTGCAACCACTGGCGGAAGGAGAGTTTCTGGGCGAAATCTCCCCAGAAGAGGTTTTTATTCTTCCATTGATAAAGCTTCCCCACCTGTAAACCTCACTAAAAATGCGAACAAAACCCAAAGCTAGTCAGTTTCCCCGGGTTGAGCTTTGCTTCCTGCTAAATCTAGAGTTCACCTGCGCAGACCCTTTCCTTCTGTAGTTAAAAGCAGATCTGGTGGAAACTTTCATTGTTTCCACATCACTGAGATTAAGACAGTGGCCCAGAGAGAGGTCGCTCTATTAGCATACCTATTAACCTCCACTCCCTGACTCGATGCAACTTAACAGGACAATCAATTCGATGGGGAATTTGCCCAGTTGTCTCTCCCTCCTGCCGGGGCACATTTAGGGCCCAGAGGGGAGTTCGCACCCCCAACCGCTAGGCATTTGGGGCCTGTCCGGGGGCGGGCTGGTTCAAGACCATCTACCTCTGTCTCTCCATCAGTGCTGGTGAAGGGGCAGGTGACCACCAAGTACTACAGGTTCCTGGCGAAGCACGGCGGCTGGGTGTGGGTACAGAGTTATGCAACTATCGTGCACAACAGTCGCTCGTCCAGGCCACACTGCATCGTCAGCGTCAACTATGTCCTCACGTGAGTGCGAGCCCGGGACCCCTTCTCCCGCTCCGGGAGAGTAGGGTCTCCGAGAGGGTGCTCGTGGTTGGGCACCGCCTGGGTAGGCGAGGCAGTTTCACCCCCTAGTGCTGGCAGCGCTGGCAGGAGGCAGGTCGAGCACTTCTATCTTTCCGAAGAGGTTTCCTTTCTTATTTTCTAGGAAAAGATTTAGGAGTTTTTCCATCACAGTCCATACTTGCTTTTTTTCTCCCCCCTCTCTCTTAACCTTTTAAGCGAACTCTGCATTAAATAAAACTTAATGCAGCAGAAAGAAAAAAGAGAGAGAAGAGGAAAGGCTCCGACGTACGGACCCATTTATGGTAACAAACAGGACATCTGTTTCACTTTTTCAGATCTGGGGTTTGAAGTTCTTAATTTTAAACAGCCTCCAAAGCTAAGAGTTCTGAGAGAGTGTTTCTTTCCCTGAATCACAAAGGGGGCCTAAGTGATCAGGAGGGTCTGACTTTAACCACCAGAAAGCAAAGGGACTTGAGTTAGCGCTGCAAGTATTGCTGGGTGTCCCCGCGTCGCGTCGTGTGGCCGTTTCACTGGGTGAGGGGCCTCGCGCCAGGTGGGTGCCACCTGCGGGTGCGACCCACTGGGGACGCTGCAGCCGCAGGATTTGAGCTTTATTCTTTCTAGAAACTACAGTTGTTTCTGGTGGTCTGTGTGACCCGGTAGCCTGATCACATGTCCTACCATGTGACTGTCGAAGAAAGCACGTTTTGTATAATATTTGCAAAATCAAATTGCTTAGGGTTAAAGCCTTTATGACAAACTCGTTTGTGCGCGCAGTTGCTGTTTGTTTTTTTAAGAGCTTGAAATTCTTGTGATTTTAGGGGACCTCAGAAATCATTTACTTTGGAAGAGTTGACATACCAGATACTTAGTGGAAATGCTGTTTTGACATTAGGAAGTTGGTTAAGAGGCGCTCTTTGGAATCAGATTATGTTGTAGACGATTGGATTCATTCCACATTGTTTCAAATTACCAAGCAAAAAATGTATTTGAAAATATGCTTAGCAATAAGACTGTTTGCGCTGTTTTACAAAGAAAGTCTAATTCAGCCCTGCGCTGGTGACTCACACCCGTACTCCTAGCTACTCAGGAGGCAGAGATCAGTAGGATTTTGGTTCAAAGCCAGCCCAGGCAAATCCTTCCCCGAGACCCTATCTCGAAAAAAACCCATCACAAAAAAGGACTGGTGTAATGGTTCAAGGTGTAGGCCCTGAGTTCAAGCCCCAATACATCAAAAAAAAAAATATGTAATTCAATAGGCTTCAAAAATGAATTTGGTTTAGGTGAGGATTTAGTATTAAGAACCTTGTTTTCTCTAATTTTAGTAAACAGTGTTAAACTAAATGTTACTGGATTTTTGTAATAAAAAAGACTGTGTATTTTTATAGAGAAAACATACTCCTAGTTTGGAGTTTGGGTGTCACGAAACAAAACCATTTATTTTGTGATTGTAGTTTTTCATATTATTAAAATAAACAGGCAAAAATAGCAAAGCCTAACTCATAAAATAAACCACTCTGTGAAGCAGAAGTATTACAGGGTAAAAAATTATGTCTGCTTACCATGGAAAGGAAAGGGCATTCTTTAAGAAGGTTCTTTGTATGTTGGAAACATCACAAGCATTATACATGCACTCTGTTCTCTGGTGGGTGCCTGTGGTTAGTAATCATTCTTTATCAAACAGCAGGGTATTACAGTCACACAGACCCCTATAAATGATCTGAATGCAAGTTAGACCTCCCAATGGGTAAACTTAATTTATGTTTGGAGTCATTTTTGAAATATTCTGTTTTGTTTTCCAGTGTGTTAGTGATCTTTTTTCTTCTGTTGACTGTGTCATTCTTTACAGAATTCTTTACAGCAGAATTAGACCATCAACTTTACATCAGATTAAAAAAGATGTAATGAGGATTAATAAATGATTTATAGACGAATAATAGTGTGGCATACATTTTCAGAACATTTTGTACCTCTAACTGAAAATAGAAATCAACACACAGAAGCATGTATACACAAGCACACAGGATGTAAAGCTGACGTTGATTACCCTTTTATGAGTCTCATCTCCAATTCCTTGTATAAAAATTCTTAGAACAATGTTTATAGCTGCAAATGTGGGAACTGCTTTAGATGAAATGTCATCAAGTGGTTCTGTGTGTGTGTTGACAGAATTTTCATAATGAACAGGTTGCAGTTTGTTTGATGTGTATCTCACACACCTGGCTGGAAGTTACTAATTTACATTGTCTTAGCAAATTAAATAGATGGCTATTGATTCTCTATGGTAGTAGTGATCTCTCAAATACATTTGTTTAGAGGACTTCTTTTCTATGAGGTCAGAGAATAAGTGAATCCTTTCCAAATGTGCCATCTCAAACCATGTATTTAAAAATTGAAAGGGCTGAAACAATTTGGCATTCCAGATGTTTTTCAAATTTAAACATTTTAATAGAATATACTTTGAAGGAAATTTCATGTCATGGAAGTAGGGGATATTTTAAAATAAGCATTGATCAAATGGGGTTGTGAGGTCTTGGTAGAAGCTACATTCATTCATAACAAGCTCATTTTTCTAATTCCCCAATGATAAATTTATAGTTAAAGTTAAAATATACCTAGAAAAAATAGTCCTTATTATCTAACAAAAGCAACAATGAGTACAAATATTTAATAGTGCTAGCAATAGTGTATACATGAGAACTGGACAATTTTAGAGGTAGGTGATGGATGCCCAATGCTTTCTACTGGTTTTTATGGAATCATTACATATTCTGAAAATCTGGAGAATGAGAAGACACTATGGTTACATTTAAAAATCCTCTTGTTTCTCTGGTCTCTGAGGTTCAATGAAACTTCTTTAGCTCTTCTGTATCAACTCCCCCTCCCAGTCATGAAACAAACAAACAAACAAAAAAATTGAACAGTTTATGGTTTTCTACAAGCTACACATACTCTTGGAGCTTTATCTTCCATACTTTAAAAAATCTTACATATTGTGAGTGCCCACAGGCTTCGAAATAAGTGTTATGTATGACAGACCCCGATTTTCATTTTAAGAGGATAGATGGAGATTGTAAATAGTGATAATGAATGTTGGGGAAAATGTGGAGAATAAAAAGAAAAGTATGCTGTAGAAAGAGAAACTTCTTGGGTGGTTTTCTTGAATTCATAACTGGTAGATGTAATTATTCATACCCAGTTGAGATGGAAATTATTAGTACTCAATGTGAAGAAAATTGAAAATGTAGAACAGCCAATAAACTATGAAAATTAATTTCAAGGAAAGTGAAAAGTACTGATTCTCTTTATATTTTCAGACTTCATGTATTTTAAGGATAAGCCAGTAAAGTGTGAAATTCTACTTTAAAACATCTTAGAACTTAAAAGTTTTCCAAACAGACATTCAAAGAATAGTACAATCCATCATATAGATTCAACAATGGCATATATTTTATGTCTCTCTCTACACACATATATATGTCTATTTTATGTGAATTTTCCCTACTAAGTAATTTCAAAATAGGCTCTACACATGATGATACTGTATTCTTATATAGATTCTCCTACTTAGCTATACCATTTATGAAGGCACATTTATAGTGTTCACAATTGTTATGTGTAGAAGCTTGCAAAAGTACAGATGAGAGCTAGTTTACTGACACTATTAAAAACAGTCTGCCACTAATATTCATCAAGTACTCATTGGCATAAGACCTCAAGTAGGCTGATTGATAGGCAGTATTTTGTGAGGGGCTTCTGTAAGATGTTAGCATATTTTGAAAATAGATTTCTAATGAGAAGTGTAAGTGAATGCAATTCTGATATTGTGCCTGGAAAGTAAAAGAGAGGTTAGACATAATAATTTGACAGATTTAATATTTTCAACCATTGTTTTGCTGGTTAAGATGGCTGCTTTGCTCATTTTCTAAATTTAGGATGGAACACTGCATTAGTGGAAAATCTCATATGGTGTTTTAGACTGATTTATAGAGCATCTAGGAGGAAGTAAGTTTTTGTGTTAAAATGTCTATTTCTGTGTTATAAATAGCAGGACAAAGATACAATTCATATTAGTGGGGTGTGTAACACTTGTTGTTTCTTAAATATCCCGTTTGAATTTGTAGATGTTAGGACAAATGCCAAAGGAGACATGATTCCTTCATGTCAGAGAAAAAGGGTGTCTGCATTTAATTATTGTAGGTCCCATACTTTTTGTTCTTGTTTGCATATTTATTGTATGGTCTCACAATTAACTATTATGAGAACCATTGTAGTTTTCATGATTGAAAATGATTTCAAAATTGCATTATATTCTGTGATATAAAACTTTATGCATCCTTATTATAAGCAGCAAGGATTAAAATATGCTTTTGTCGGTTTGTTCTTTCAAGTACATTAAAGATACTAAATTAATTTGGGTGTGCAGGGTTGAGTGCAAACCTGTAATCCTAACTATGGGGGAAGCATGGATAGGTGGACCATGGTCAGTGCCTAGCCTTTGCAAAAAGTGTGAGACCCCCTATCTGCTTTAGCAAAAACGATCTGGGGGCATGACTCATGCCTAGCAAGCAGGAGGCTTTGAGTTCAAACCTCTATAGTGTCCATCCCTCATAAATTTTTTTGTCTGTTCAGAGTCAAATTTATTAAAAAAATTTTAAAGGCCCGTGATATTATTACTAGTAAATTTTAGAATATGCATTTTAAAACCTGGCCAATAATATGTATAGAACATGGCTGTAATCCAAGCATTTGGGAAGCTGAGATAAAAGGATTACAAGTTCCAAGCCAGTCTGTGCTGCATAGTGAGATCCTGTTTGGATGCCCTCATCCAAAAAAAAAAAAAAATATATATATGTATAATTTTCAATTATAATTTTATTTTCCTCATTAGCAATCACTCTATATTATAAATGATGTCAAATAAAATACTTTTGACTTACTGGTATATACATATTGTTTTT